AACACATGAACATGAACTAAAAATTAATTCAAACGATAAACAAAACAAACATTTGTTGATTTTAGATTCGAAAATATCAAAACAAAATACGGACAAAATAAAACTCAAAAACTACTAACCGGATCGAAACGACGAACAACGACCAAACAAACAACGAACTTGACGGTGAACTCACGACGTACAGGATCTTGACTCGACGAAAAACCCTCGACCTTTGCCGANAAATCATTTTATTTTTGATTTTTTGGGAGTAATTCTCATATAGGGCAAAAATCACGTGCTTACAATGGCTTCATCAGAACTTAAGGAGTTGAGAGAACAGTTTAAAGACCTTCTTAACAAGGGCTTCATTAGGCCGAGTGTTTCACCGTGGGGTGCCCCGGTCCTGTTTGTCAAGAAAAAAGATGGGTCTCTCAGAATGTGCATCGACTATCGGCAGTTAAATAAAGTTACCACTAAGAACAAGTACTCGCTGCGAATAATTGATAATTTATTTGATCAACTTCAGGGTGCTAAGTACTTTTTAAAGATAGACTCGTCGAGGTACCACCAATCGAGAATAAGAGAAGAGGATATATCTAAAACAGCCTTTAGGAATCGCCACGGGCACTATGAATTTCTAGTAATGTCCTTCAGGTTAACGAATGCTCCGGTCGCATTCATGGACCTCATGAACAAAGTTTCCGAGCCATTCCTTGATACCTTTATTATCGTGCTTATAGACGATATTTTGGTATACCGTAAGAGCAAGGAAGAGCACGCAGAACACCTCAGGATAGACTTGTAGACCTTAAGGGAGAATGAGTTTTATGCCAACAACAACAACAACAACAAACACAGTATATTCCAACAATTGGGTCTGAGGAGAGTAATGCGTACGCATACCTTACCCCTACCTAGTTAAGATTGAGAGATTAACAATACACCCTCGTCTTAGAAAGAGCAACAAGAATAAGAAGAAGAAGGGAAAAAAGAGTAAGAAGACGAGGGGGANAGAGAGAGAGAGAGAGAGAGAGAGAGAGAAAGGGAAGAAAAAAGGGGGGATCTAGTAGTACTAAACACTAACAACATGAAATACGATAACAGAAGTGAACTAAATCACATGGAGAAGTGACGGTCTACTTAAGAATATGCAGGAACCTAAGTGCTACTAAAGTAACTGGTAAGAAAAAGAGGAGAAACTTACAACTACGTACTAACCTTCTACCCTAATCCTCGACCTTCATACATTCCTATCAAGGGTCATGTCCTCAGTAAGATAGAGTCGCGTCATATCATGCCTAATCACCTCTCCCCAATACTTCATTGGTCTATCTCGATCTCTTCTCACACCCGCCATGGCCAACCTCTCACATCTCCTGACAGGAGTATCAATGATTCTCCTCTTTATGTACCCGAACCATCTCAGCCTCGACTCCCGCATCTTGTTCTCCATGAAAGCCACTCCCACGTTGTCCCAGATAGCTTCATTCCTAACCTTATCTCTCCTGGTATACCCACTCATCCATCTCAATATCCTTATTTTTGCTACTTTCATCTTCTCCATATGTGCGTTCTTAATTTGCCAACACTCTGCCCTATATAGAATAGTTGGTCGGACCACTAATTATAAAATTTACCTTTAAGTCTTGGCGGTACATTTCTATCACATAAGACGTAGGATGTAAGACTCCATTTCATCCATCCCGCTCAAATACGATGTGTGACATCCTCTTCAATCACCCCGTTATCCTGGAAAATAGACGCAACATACTTGAAATTACCTTTCTTGGGGGGATAACTTAAGTATCAAGCTTCACATCCACGTGTGACTCATGAGCCCCATCACTGAATTTGCACTCTAAGTATTCTGTTTTGAAGGAGAATAAGCTATATTCCAAGTTTTCAAAATGTGAATTCTGGTTGCAGTCAGTGGCATTCTTAGGCCACGTGGTATCTAGTGAAGGCATAAAAGTAGACCCTCATAAGATAGAAGCAGTCATGGACTGGCCAAGGCCGACAACACCAACCGAAATCATGAGTGTCTTGGGGTTAGCTGGCTACTATAGAAGGTTTGTAGAGGTATTTTCTTCACTTACAACTCCATTAACTAAGTTGACTCAAAAAGCAATTAAGTTTCAGTGGTTAGACAATTGTAAACTGAGTTTTCAAGAGTTAAAAAAGAGGTTGACCACTGCACTTATGTTAACTTTGCCGATAGGTTCGAGTGGGTTCACATTGTACTGTGATGCCTCCAGAGTTGGTCTTGGTTGTGTTCTTATGCACTACGAAAAAGTAATTGCTTATGCTTCCAAGCAGTTAAAGAATCATGAGAAGAACTACCTCACACACAACTTGGAGCTTACAGTAGTGGTGTTTGCATTAAAGATATGGCGACACTACCTATATGGCTAGCATTGTCAAATGTTTACAGATTACAAAAGCCTCAAGTATATTTTCAAGCATAAAGAGTGAAATTTGAGATAGAAAAGGTGGCTTGAGTTATTGAAGGATTATGACTTCAATATCGTTTATGGTTCGGGTAAAGCTAATGTGGTAGTAGATGTACTTAGTAGCAAGTCAATGGATGTGTTGGCCCATCATGATTGTCTTTTTTTTATGAGTTTTGTGAGTGATGAAGACTAAACTTACAGAAAAAATGGAAATTCTAAGGTGTGTATTCTATGTCTATATCAACTGACTCTTTTTAGAAGAGAAGGAGTCCTTTATTTGCAAACAAAATCAAGGAATAATTAGCCAATAGCTGTCCATTTAGATATTCCTCTATGTTTTCTTCAGCCCTTTTAACTTTGCATTTTACCCCTTTCAACCTAATTTTCCTTGTCTTTTTGCATTTTAATCCTCTCTACTATATTCTAGAAGTTTTCTGTTCAGCTACAAAGATTCCCCATGTATAATCTCTTATTTATCCCTCATGCCATGTATTTTAAACTTATTTCCAGACATAGAGTGGGATGCTATAAGGAAAAAGGCTTAACGCCTTATACGAAACAGAACAACAATGAAGCAGACGTTGAAGGAGCAAGAAACAGAGGCTCCCAACGAAATACTCAAATAGGAAACGAAAAGTTTTAGGTTTCTTTACAAATCACTAGTTCTTGAACTCAGGCATATAAAATTTTCTATTGTCAATAATCCTACAGTAGTAGGTAAGAATTAGATAGTTAATTCCCTTCTTTCTCTATATCAACACTAAATTCAATATTTAGGTGCAAAACTTTGAAATTAATTAAAATGCACTAGTTGTTATAGAATTGATTATTTGGCGGGTATATATTGGACTGGAGCCTACGTATTGGCTCGAAAAATTTTGAGATGAGTTGATATAATCTTTTACTAAAGTGGTTTAGCTCATATAATCAAATGGATACAAGGTGTTTGGTGCATTATTTTAAGTGTTAATGTGTGCTTAATCGGAGCAAGTGAGTACTTATTAACTTAGAATTATTCTAACTAAAGTTTAAGTGATTTATTCTGATATAAGTGCATAAATTTTCAAAATTTTGTGTTATTCTTATATGCCATTTTCATTTTGAAAATTAATGAAAAAACAAGAACCTTTAGAAATACTTTTGAATGTTTATTTCATGCTTATACCATGTTTTACATTTAAAATACTATTATGAGTATTTATAGATTGTCCTAGAAAAGATTTAGACTGGAATGGTCAAGAAAATTGAGAAGTTGATTTAGATTCTAGCAAGGTCACACAAAAAAGTTTATTATTAAAGTATTTGTGGGAGTATCCTCTATTCTGAGAAGGGGTAATCGTCCAAGTCGAGGGTCCTGACCAAGGCATTGACTTCCTGAAACTACTTATGCCAAAGTAGGGAGCAAACAAGCCAAGGGTCTTGTTGCTGAGAATTTGGCTAGTCAGGCTAAGGTATGATACATGAGCGCTGAGAACTATGATGCGAATGGAACCTCATGGATTAGGCCTATTCGATCAGGTTGGAATCGAACCTGTACCGATCACACAGTAACTAAGACAGAAATAAGTCAGGAGAGTTGGAACTCCCGAAACATAAAGGGAAGTATTTTTTTTTAGATAAGAAAGAAAAAGAAAAGAATTTCTTTTAGAACGTCCATAAACTACTATTATGCAATTATTTTAGAATTGTTATTAGAAGCTTTATGTTTTTTATGTATTTAGAATCTTTTCTTGTAGTGTATATTTTATTAAGTCTCTTTATGTGCTTTAGTGGGGAGTCGTTGAGACTCACTGAGTACAGTGGATGTACTGACCTTTTCGTTTGGGAACCCGCATTGGTCTATAGTACAACTTAGGAATCGGTTTTGCAGGCGAGAATGCTATATGTTAGGACTTCTCACACTTCCAATAACATTGTTATTGGTGAGCTCCGCTTTTGTTCGTGGAGTATTCCTTTGAGTCATCATTATTTAGCTATTTCTTTGTTTACTTGGAGAACTTGCTAGGAAGTCTCATGTCCTGAGCAGTGCGTCAGTTTATCAGTAGAGACTTCATAGACACAATCAGTGGGTTAAAATTCAGATGTTTTTGATAATAACTTTGCAGTATTTCAGTAGTTACTACGAATAAAGTTTTGGAATTGGTTTATTATAAATATCAAATTAATTAAAAATATTTGATAAAAGTATTATCTTGTTACATATAAAGTTTGAAATTATACTAGATTTGATAAGCGTTTATGGTTCGTTCGGTCAAGTTTAATGACCGGATGCCAATCACGGCTTGTTCCAAAAATGAGACATGACAGAATAGTACTAAATAATTCATCTACGGTACGGAAAAATACTTTTTCCATCACTTCAACTAACCTTTAAAGCTCCTTTTGCTTACTGATTATAATAATATAGCGAAGTAAAGCTTGTGTTGTGCACGGGCCCAACAATGCAATTAAAACAATGATGAAATAAGAAGAATCTTGTTATGAAATAAAGACTATAAAGTAAAGACAAGTATAGAGAGAAACTGATTTATTATTCGAATTCAAACTGATGTACATAATGAACTGAAATCTCTTCTTTTTATAGAAGAAAGGAAGCTGTTGTGTAAGCTGCTACGCAAGCTGTTGTGTAAGCTGCTACTACAAGCTGCTGTGTAAGCTGCTGTGTAAGCTTCTACGCAAGCTGTTGTGTAAGTTGCTACGCAAGCTGCTGTGTAAGCTGTTACTGCAAGCTGCTGTGTAAGCTGCTACGCAAGCTGCTGTGTAAGCTGCTACTATACCAGATATGGATAATCTTCTACTGAGAGCAATGTTTATCCATAACGGAGTACTGAAAGGATAAGCTTATTATACCCGGTATGGATAATCTTCTACCGGGGGTAATGTTTATCCATAACTGGGTACTGAAAGGATAAGCTTATTATACCCGGTATGGATAATCTTCTACCGGGGGTAATGTTTATCCATAACTGGGTACTGAAAGGATAAGCTTATTATACCCGGTATGAATAATCTTCTACCAGGGGTAATGTTTATCCATAACTGGGTATTGAAGTGATAAGCTTCTTCAGGAAGCTTATTTCCAATAGAGTACTAAATAGATAAACATATTTACGGTGGAGTCCCATATAGATAAGCTTCTTCAGGAAGATTATTTACAACGGAGTACTAAATGAACATCCATAATATAATATATTTGTAACACTCCCCCTTGGATGTTCATTAAAAGATAATGTGTCTCATTAAAACCTTACTAGGAAAAACCACGTGGGAAAAAATCCTAGTGAAGGAAAAAGAGTACACATATTTAGTAATACGCATTGCTAGGTGCCTCATTAAAAACCTTATAAGAAAAACC